TGAATAAGTGATTATGAGGCTAATAAAGGGGAAAAAAAGATATTTCCACATTAAAACAGTTAACAGATGTTAAAAAAGCACAGAAAATGGCCACTGGGCAAGCAATGACTGATGTTGGGTAAGTAAGAAAAATGTTGCCTTTACTGATTTTATTACCCATGTACCTCCTGGGATCATGGGAGACTTGTAAAATATTTTGTGGGCAGATAAAAGTCTAGCATTTATTTGCAAGGCTAGTTTAAGTGTCTTTCAAGGGTTCCCCATCCCCCTTACTTTTTGACAACATAAAGCTAAGTAAATGAAAACCATCTAAGAAAGGCTAAAATAGTCATTTGTTGAGAGGTCAAGAAAACTTATTTTTCAACATTTTTCTGACATGCATCTCTTCCAGTCTCACCTTCCAGACTTCACTAATCAGGAATGAAATCCTCACAGTAGAAAGGAGAAGGTATAAGATTTCACTTTACCACTGCAGGCACATCCGTTTCAAAAGTCAGTCTTTAAGTGTGAATTCAGTAATTCACTGGGGAAGCCCACATATTTAATCTCCTACAAATCCTCCAATTTTTTCCCTAAGTATTGAAAACTGTATTATTTCATGTTATAATCAACCATATTATTTCAAAAGTCATATTATTCTCTTGATAAGCATTTACTAAGTTAAATGTGCTAATATTTTTGGCATATTCAGAACAGTGCCCAGGAGATATAAACACTGTACATGGTTGTGTGTGTTTGTGTGACCATGTGTGTTTAGTTGTGTCCAAGTCTTTGCAACCTCATGGACTGTAGCCCACCAGGCTCCTCTGTCCATGGGGTTTCCCAGGCAAGAATACTGGAGTGGATTGCCTCTACCTCTCCAGAAGATCTTCCCCACCCGGGATCAAAACCCACGTCTCCTGCACTGCAGGTGGATTCTTTCCCACTAAGCCACCTGGGAATCCCATACATGGTTACTAAATACTAAATAAAACATCTACAATATTCTGGGTACTTACTATTTTTCAAACCCTTCACTAAGAAAAATAAGACTTCCTTATTTCCTTTGCAGAACTATAGAAATTTTACATGTCATATGGACACGGGCATCATTTGCTTGAACCTGAGCAGTCAAAACATGGCAGCCAAGAATTCTGGCCAAATTCAGTCATCCTGGGAAGACTGTCTGGCCCAAACAGGGCATATTTGTTCTTAAGTAACCAATATTAAATAACAGGAGATGTCACAGAAAATCCAGATGAAGTCTTCGAAAAATCTTAACCTCTCCCAAACAGAACCCTGTACTTTCTTACTGCAATGAAAGGATGGAGAGAAGTCCCAGGGAAGGGGTGTAACTCCTGTCCCTACAGTTCCTTCTGCCTGATCCTAGTAAACGCTGACTTTGGGACCTGAATCTGACAAAAAGCACGGAATCAAAACATCTGACACTACTAAAGAAATGTGAAGCGAGAAACTGAGTGTGATTGCTATGAGAAAAGCATTACTGACAAAACTATAAAAATGGAGAGATTGCCCCTCTAGTTTTAATCATTTCCAGCTTGAGGAGGACCACCATTTTTAGATTTTTGAGCATTTGGCTAGTTCTTTGGTTTGCATAATAGAGCTAAACATTTGTGCACTGGGTTTTTCTGTTTACATATAAATTCTGTTTTAATAAGGCAGGGAAGTTTATTTCATCTGGCAAACTATGATAACTCTGATGTAGAGTTAATTGGTAAGACATTCAAGATGTATTCGTTTAAGGTTGAAAAGTCTGTTAATCCACTTTTTTCAGAGTCTCTTCTAACTCACCCCAGGCATAGAAATCTATATATTTTAAAGACAAAATATGAAATTTTTCTATAACTTCCATATGTAATCTATGCCAATGTTTACAAGCCCTATAGTCATGAAATTCTAAATGGAAGTTTTTGCTTAAATATTCATGCTTCAGCTTCAGCTGATTCCTAATTCATATGCTTTCAAACCACTGGAAAAGTTTGGCCTTCTCTTTCTTGAAATAAAGAATTATAATTCCCATTGATATTTCTTCTTTCCCTTCAACTAATATGCATTAAGTGCCTTCCAAATACTGGGTACCCAGTTCACAACAATGGAGAAAGCCATGGCACCCCACTCCAGTGTTCTTGCCTGGAAAATCCCATGGACGGAGGAGCCTGGTAGGCTGCAGTCCATGGGATCACTAAGAGTCAGACACAACTGAGTGACTTCACTTTCACTTTTCACTTTCATGCATTGGAGAAGGAAACGGCAGCCCACTCCAGTGTTCTTGCCTGGAGAATCCCAGGGCCAGGGAGTCTGGTGGGCTGCCGTCTATGGGGTCGCAGAGTCGGACATGACTAAAGCGACTTAGTAGCAGCAGCAGCAGTTCACAACAAACACCATAAAATTCCGTATAACCTTCACAACTTCTCCAGGGGAGAACATGATCTCTATTCTGACATGAAGAAACAGGTCATTGAGCTAGTTCAAGGCGACTCACTCAGTGCAAATTAAGATTCAGTGCTTATTATTTCCTTCTCTACTGCAGAGTCATCTAATTTCTTTATTCATCTTCATACCCTTACAGTGTAAGATCACTAGACAGTCACAAATATGTCTTCTAGTTCCAGGGATTCCATTTTCTGGGTGACCTTCACATCTCTGGTTCTCTACACCTCGGCAGGAGACAAGGGGCCAGGCATAGATCATCTCCAGGTTTCTCACAAATCTATAAAATCTATTATCCAAATGCCCTCATTAAGCTCAAAAGGCCAAACCTAAGAAAAAAGAAAAAGGTAAGCTGAGATAGCAACTATCAGATGAAGTGTATTGCTGCCATGACTAACTTCCTTGCCCACAAGCAGTGGTTATCAGAGAGCCTGGGTAAGTTTCCATTTGAGAACTCCTCAAGACACTGAACATTCGAAGCATTAAGTCCTTTCCCATAGGATGGGTAACTCTGTGCCCAACTCTTTGCAACCCCAAGGACTGCAGCCCACCAGGCTCCTCTGTCCATGGGATTTTCCAGGTAAGTATACTGGAGTCATTTGCCATTTCCATTTCCAGGGGATCTTCCCAACCCAGGGATGGAACCCAGGTCTCCTGCACTGCAGGCAGATTCTGTTAATCTGTCCTATGGCAATTTAATTATTAGCTCAACCAAAGAACTTAGATGGAAAGAAAAGTTTTCTTTCCTTGCACTAGTGGAAGTTCTCATTTCCTTAAGCAGCAGTTGCATGAGTAAGGCTGCCAAATAAAATACAGGATGCCCAGTTGTATTGTACTTTGAGATAAACAAAGAATAATTTTCTTTTATAAATATGTCCCAAATATTACATGAGACAAGCTTATAGTAAGGAGCTCTATCAGCAACTTTATCCTTGAAAATAAACTTAGAGAACTAAAAATTTCTCAGAAGAGAACTTCAAAAATCCTAAAAGCAAGTCCTGAACTGACATATCAAAATAATTTCCTAATTTATTAAATGGTAAGATGAAAATTCTGCAGAAGAAAACACAGTGCTTCACAGGCTATCAAGGTCTTAAAACACCCAATTTGCATCCCCAAATAGCTCTCACCCTTACAAAAGACAAAGACCATGACTTATTCTATTTGTATTTCCAGTACAACAAGAAAACTTGCTATTGTTGATGATGTGGTTTTAAAAAGAAAAAGATTTTAAAAATAAATAAATAAAAGAAAAAGATTTTTCTCCCTAAATTTCTTTGAATGAATATTTAAAATTGATTTGAAATTAAGAGCTTGGCTTTCAAACCTATGTTGTTTTCAAAGCACCAAATTCGATTGAGGGTTTTCAAGATTCAGCAGTTAATGGAAATCACAAAAGAACTTCATTAAGCACTTGATACTTGAGTTCTAAGTAAACAGGTTGTTTCCCCACAGAGCAGAAGCATAGCAGTAATTACTATTCCTAAGTTAAAAAAAAAAAAGTCATTTCAAAATAAATGTTTCTATTTCCTTCCATTTTGTTCTTCAATTTCTTCCCAATTCCATTTTGTGTAAAATTAAGAACTGAGAGGAAAAAAGCAGTTAAAACTACAACACTTGACAGTTTTCTCAGGGTCAGTATCCTAAACCATTACACTCCTTGCTGAAGGGTATCCGAAAGGATAAAGGAGCTGGTCTGAATCATGTCTGAGGTTGTAAGCACTGGCCAAGTGCAGTGTTTTACTCAAAGGCAAGGCAAGTCTGAGTTTATTGTGAGGGAGGGAAGATGTGGAGATGGGAAGCAGGCAGTTTCTCAAGATGCACTAGTGCACTCAAGGCGTCCCCTTGACACACCAGCAGGAAACTGCTCAGTTATCTTCTAGTACTTGGGATTCCAAGCGCTTCCGTGACCGTCAAACAACACTGCATTTGAAACCACTGAGGGAACTCGGAGGAACACGTATTAAGCCCTGCGGCGAAGGTCTTAATTGGCCTCAGGGCAGAACGTATAATGACCAATTTCTGTTGTGACTCTTCTATTCTTATACACTACAACAAGGAAAAGGTAAATATGACTCATTAGTTAAAAATGTGACTTCCCAGAGCACAGCAGAGACGTTTGTTTTCCAAAGTCAGTTTAGGAAAAGTAATATTAACAAACGGCAGAGGATTTCCTCTTTCCAGAGTGGAGCATCCAGCTCACTGATCAGCTGTGTTATTTTTTCAAACACCTATTACAGGCAATTTATTGGATTACAGGACTTGGACTGAAATAAAGGAGTCAAGGATAAATAAATAAAGATGCATATTATTTACAAGGCAGAACTGTCCTTCTACCCTCTCGGAAATCATGAAACTAAGTTAAGAAACCAGAGAAATAAAATAATCAGAGACTGACACCCAGGTTAGTAGGGCAAGGCCAGAGAGGACACTTCCACCTCACGAAGATCAAAAAGTAACTTACTTTAAGTTCTCTTTGAAACGGAATAATCTGCTTTTTCAAATGGGGAAAAGGGATCAAGCTCAGAGGGAACTCAGTAACCCGATGCTCATGCCCAGCAGTCACTTACTTTGTAGATGGTGGGTAAGATGTGTTTCATTTTCAGTCTGTGAAAGACAAAGATGTCATAAACGGCGGAAACTGCCAAGACCGTGACTCCTTGCTCCTTCCATAACATGCTGCATCCGGCGCACATGCCCGTCCCCAGGAACCAGCCCCAGGTCCTGGCCGAGGAGCCTCTTGTAGAGCAGTGTTTCATGTAGCAGAGCAAGGACAGGAGGAAGAAGAAGCTGGCCCCCACATCAGCCCGGCCCACGATTCCGGCCACTGCCTCCGTGTGGATGGGGTGAGAGGCGAACATCAAGCCAGCCATGAAGGTCCAGTACCCGTCCCCCAGAAGGATCTTAGAGAAGTTTGTGAAGAGACCAGTGACAGCCGCGTGCAACAGCACATTGACCAGATGGTAGCTCCAGGGATTCAGCCCTCCGATGGCATGGTTTAGGCGGAAAGAAAGAGTGCAAAGGGGCCGGTAGGACTTGTGGCTGCCGCTGTGGGTGAGCAGGGTCCCCCAAAAGTCATTGTAGAAAATGTGGGTCCAGGGGGTTTCTGGGAGAAGGTCCTGGTTCGTCTTGATAGCACGGCTAAAAAACAATGTCAGAAAAGAAATCAAATGTAAAAGACAGAAAGAGAAAAAACACATTACTAAAATATACTACTGAAACATCGCCTTCCTGCATAGCTTTCTCACCACCGGGTTTTAGATGGGCTTCGGGTGTACAAGATTAATGCAAAAAAGCCTTAGAGTGGCTTCACAGGAAGATTGAATTCAGATCCTCCCAGTCACACTTACTAGGTACCACAATTAGGGTTGTATTTCTTCTCTTCAAAAGCTTTTCTTCTTTGTTTGAATGCAAATACCTTTGGAGAATGAATGCAGAGTTTCAAAGAAGTTGTCAAACAATTGCCCTCCTGTGGCATGATGGCTAGAAATGCAGATCTCAGGAACCAGGCTTATATAAGGCCTGAGAATAGACATTTTTTAAGAAGCAAAGTCTCAGGTAATACTGATGTAAGGGATAGACTTAGAGGAAGGACTAGCTCTGTTAGTAGAAATAAATTTTAGATAGAATGTCTGCCCAGGGAAATGATTCCCATACATGAGGATCACCTGGGGATCTTGTTAACAGGCAAGCAAAGGTTCTAACTCAGTAGGTCGAGGAGGAGCCCAAGATTCCACATTTCTAACTCTTGTAATTGTTCATTTATCTTCTATGCAGAAAAGCAAAGGACACTGCTGTGCAGATTCATGCATGTTCCGGAGACCTAGTGCAAGGAACATCTTGGCCCTGTTACCTGTTGCTATTACTATTCTTCAAAGACTGTATTCTAATCGACAGAAAGCCCCTGAATTTAAAATTCAGCTTGACCCACAATTTCTGAAATCAGGTGCACCTGGGGGATAGAATGAGCCAGTTACCATTAATGTATGTCGATGCCTGTTTTATCTATTCTGCCAAACACTACTACATATATAATCTACTGCCAAACTACTGCCTGCAAACAACTACTGCCTGTCTGCCTGCAATGCAGGAGACCTGGATTAGATCCCTGAGTCAGGAAGATCCCCTGGAGAAGGAAATGGCAACCCACTCCAGTACTCTTGCCTGGAAAATTCCATGGACAGAGGAGCCTGGTAGGCTACAGTCCATGGGGACACAATTGAGTGACTTCACTTTCTTTCTTCTTTATTTAGGGTATTAGCGAGTGGCAGCTGAATCTACTCATCAGTGAAATCCTTTGTTAACAGAAGACCTACTATATCATGGTGGTTTGATTTTCCATTTTGATTTGATTTTTACAAGGCTCTGTGTATTGACTGTGTATAAATGAATTTCCATATAAATTGGCTTTTAAAATATTAGAAACAGATGTTATTCTGTATCCATTAAATTAAAACACCTTGTTATGACATTCATCAAGAGTCTACCCCAGAAGTAATTGCTTAAGACTTGATGGGTTATAATTAAAATTTTAAAGAAATATGAAAAACTGCCAAACAGTGTTGTCAGAGAAAGCTGATTTCAAGCCATTGAGAATAAAAAGCCAACTGGCCTCCACTAAACATTAAGCTAAATACTGATGTGAATTTCTCTAATATCAATGCAGAAACACTCATATATTCAGAGTCGGGGCAGCAGAAAGCTCAACAGCAGAACACTGTGGGATAAGACTTGGCTAATTTAGCAAGGAAAGCTGAGAAGCACGTTTTGTTTAGGAGAGTATTTCACCCTTTCAGTGGCAGACCCGTATAGGATGAAGCCACGTTCCCTAAACCAGGTTTTCTACATGCTATTAGTTCAGCTCCACAACCAGCTTTCCTTTTCAATCAGTTCAAAGTCGCCAGAATTTCTTATGTCCATAGCAATAAATCTAGTAATCCACAGCAGCCAACAAGATATAAGTCTAACTCCAATGAAACAAGAATTTCAAAACAAAGGACAAAACAACAAACCTCATAATTTCACTGTGAGAAAAAAACTGAGGCACAGCCCTAAATTTTCTGCACTGTAGGAAAAAAATGGCAAACAGCATCAATAAAACAAAAATGTAAGAGCAAAGGAACATTTCACCCATGTTCAAAATATATTCCACTAGTGGAGACATCAGTCTGATAAAATTATCTGATGGGTGTTATTAGGTAGGTTTTTATTTACTCAATGAATATTATGGCACAAGAACATGAAATAAGACTAAATTATACTGGGCTTTAGAATATAAGTCATCACACACATGCAAGTCAGTGATAAGGGATGAAATATACATCGCTTTCATCATATTAAGAAATGGACCAAAAGGGATTTAATAGAATCTAAACAATATGCCAGCAAAATGAGAAGCAAAGGTAGTCATACAACACTAAACATAATAGGTTCTCATCTATTTGAATTTTCTTACCTGAGTCCAAAACTGAAAGAGGGAAACCTCTTCTACTATTTCTCAGCGAATAGAAAGGCTTAAGTCAAAACAAAATTTCATGCTGTTATATAATCTGAAGTTACTTCTGTGAGTGGGTATTGACAATTCAGAAAGACACTAAGCAATTAGGAAATTTTCACTCTGGGAAAGATGAAGAATGTTGAAGTAGCAGATGTGGAAAAGATACAAATGTAGGCAGAATTCTCCAGAGAACACAGGACTAGGAGACTGTCCTTCAAAGCAAAAAGATCTATTCTCTCAAGTCTTCAAGGGGGTTTTAACCTGTTTTCAGTTTTGTTCATTTGTGGCTCTTTGTTTTTTGCTGCCTTATGATTTTTCCTTTAAAAAATGTTGACAAAGGTCAACACTGTTATAAAACTGATGAATGATGTGACACCACCATCCCAACTGTCCTTGTGTGTGTTTCTCTGCTATTTTTTTCTGTCCATTGACCTTTTCAGTCACAAGCACCCACATAAATGATGACCATTAGTCCTTCAGAGCAGGGATGATGCTTAGATTTTCCAAACATCAAATGGCACACTCTCCCCCAAGTGCTTTCAATTGTTCTACTAAAAACTAAAAGCCAAACTTTACACTTAAAAAAAGCAAAAAAAAAAAAAAATCTTTTTTTTTTTTTTAGGTGATGGATTGAAATTTGTTCTGTAGGATAAAAAAGAGCATAAATCCTTTGTTAATCTGCCCTGCTTCTGTGCTACCCAAGCACACCTATCTATCTCCAGGAAAGGCAGTGAGATGCAATAGTTACAAAAAGTGATTCTAGAACCAACTGGACCAATTATTCCACCTCTCTGTACCTCAGTTTTCTTACCTGCAAAATAAGGATAACAACTGTACTTGTTTTATAGGACCATTTTGAGGAGTTAATGAGTTAGCAAAAAGCACAGTGTTACATGTAATATATGTAACATATTAGCTGCTATCATTATTAGTATTATTATCACCGTTAACACAGAACAATTATTGCTCGAGCCATCCATGAAAACACAGTGCTTTCTTCAAGTTCACAGCTGTCAACATCTATGCATCATGGTCATGACTGTTTCACTTTAAAATCCTTTAAGATTTAATGACACTCTTAGAACAAAATAATAAACATTTACAACATCTTACCTTTAGTCTTTTCCTATTTTTCTATCTTTTTTTCCCCCCACACAATAGTCCTTTGATAGACTTGATAGTAAAAAGTAATGTAATTGTAAAAAGCACACTTCTATCTTCTTTGACTTCCTCTTTCCAACCCTCCTTGGCTACCATCTTCTTCAGACTTGTGTCACAGATGTGGACGTTTCTTCCCAGTTCTGTCTCCTGACCTTTGCTCACTCTGTACCTTTCACCTTGGTGGTCATCATCTCCAACGCCTGCAACCAGGGGACACTTTCTCATTGACACCTTCAGCCTGGGTGGTGCTCACCAGTCTACACGTCTACTGGCCCAGGTGATAGTTGTATCTGAATGATGAAATCGTGGTTCCTCTACTAAGACCAAATGGCCAGTTAGCCTCGCTAGAGCACAGCTTCTTTACCAAGTTGGTGGATAAACTTCTCACAAATTGTGTTGAAGTTCAAATGGGGCAATGTTAAAATGTTTGAAATCTACTTTGCCTGGTGTCATGGACTGGTTTTTCCAAATACCTTCTTCTAGTTAAAAGTGTCCTGTTTTGTTTTCCTTTTGAGAATAGGCCAAATCTACTCTCCATTCATATGAATAGAGTGAAGCTGTTATCATCACCTCCTGATGAAAGTTATCTTGTTATTTGGCCAGTCAGTGTACTATATGCCCCATCCCCATTCCCGGCCATAAGACCTGACTTAGCAGCCAACCAGGTCAATCAGAGTCAAAGCAGCTCTAATAATCTCCTGGGAAAGGACATCTTAGGGGAATGAGATCAGCCCTAAGGGTGCTAAGGGCCCTAAAGATGGAGCCTAAGAATGAGGCCAACACACACAAAAGGAAAAACAGATCAAGGTGACAAAGAGGCAGTTAATTCCTAGTGTAGCTGGAACCTATCTTCTCTCTTTGCTCCCACATCTACTTTCAATTTGGTTAAGGATAACTTGACACTGATCAAGACCTCAGTGAAAAATTCAACATGCAAATTTCCCCTGAATCTCCTCTAACTTTCCTTTTCTCTTCCCCTCATTCAGGTTTCCTTCATTTCTGACTTCTATTGCTTAGGAGATTTTTACTAAAAGTGACTGTTAATTATTTTTTTTCCTTCATTAGGCTCTAAGTTCTCTTATGGAAAGAGTATATTTTCTCCAATGCCCAATATATATTAGGCACATAACAAATATTTGTTACACTGAGCTAAATAATCTCTGCCTGCTTTCATTTCCCTTTTGATCTATTATGCAAGCTGTGGATATAGAAACTTCCTGAAATTTAACTCCCGAAGTATAACCCTATCACTTTGCTTCACAAGACTCCCTCATCACACCCTATTTCTTACCATAATAAACAACCCCTCTAAGCCCAGAGTTCACAGCCAATCCCATTATGACTTCTAGGCCAATTGCCCATTACTTTTCCACATGCATCCTAATGTCAACTGAATTCCCCAGCTCTCAGGCCTTTGCTCAGATCATTTTTCCCCTTTTTCTGCCTGACCTGTTGTTCTTCACCCAGTTTGTATGTATGTGAG